CATCTACACCTCCAAATGCAGGAAGAGGGCCACCTGCATCATGAAGGACCCCACTCACCCAGCACACACACTTTTTGCCCCGCTCCCCTCAGGAAGAAGGTTAAGGAGCATTAAGTGTAGAACCACTAGACTGAGGAACAGCTTCTACCCTGAGGCTGTTAGACTCATGAATCCAACAAACCCAATTGGTTTAGGGACAAGCAATGAGGCACCATCTGTCTCCTGTCTACACAGATGCACTTAAAACTCTCCGTTTGGACATTTTATGAAATATGGCTTTTCTCCTCAAAACCTGCATGTTTTGAGGAGTTGTAATTGTAACAAATGAGTTGGTGCACCATTTTTTTTAAAACATCCAGAGTAGTGTAGAAAGTCAGTCAATCAGGAAATGGTAGTCCTAACTGAATCAAGCAACACAAATTGAAAAAGCTCCTCAAATGAGAAGCAAAACATAATCATGAATCAAAAACGAAGTTGGAGTAAATTGATTCATTTTGTTATAATTGGTTTGAACCTTTAAATTGAACTGTTTCAGACAATTTCAATGCTTTTTACTGCACTGCAGTTTTTCCCCCTGGTCTATAAATTTGGCTTGTTTCGCCTCTTCTTGTTACACTGGTTCTGTTGTTACTTCCTGGCTTGATGATCTCCACAATGCCCAGTTAAATGCATTTTTGTGCAAGCTAATAGGGATCCAGATAGCATATGAAAAAATGGATTAATATAAGAATCTCAATTTGCATTTTCTGAGACTAAAAAACATTTTTTTCTCATTAGGTAACAGCCTTGATGTGCACGTAGTTTAGTTCAATTTCTGATAATATTTTGATGCTGTTGGAAACTCAGAAATGTTTTTTTCATTTGGTGCTTACTTTAGACACCAAAACAGACCCTATCAAAGCCTATAAAAAGTTAATATTTTCTTTATATGCCCTGCAACTAAGTGCTACAACAAAAGTACAAATAAAATCATTCAGCTTTGGGTCCATACGTATTTCATCCCTGTTTTTAATAAAAGATGGGGTACAGGAGTTTGTTTTATGATTCACATTCTATGAAGCAGCACAAAAGATAAGCTAAGCACATAGTGAAATCTAATCAGAACCTCGATGTGTTTTTTTTCTTTGTCTATGGAAATGACTAGCTCCTTATCGGCAGAGGAGGTTATTTGTGCAGATTCTCGCTGTGGCTTAGTGAAGGGACTCAATCACTGCTGCCCAGCGATAGGCCTCACTTTCGTCCGCTCCCTTTTCTCATCTTTTTATCTGAAGGAGCGGAAATGAAAGGATGGTATCTGGAACTCTCTGCGTCTTCGGTTCAGGAGACGGAGAGTGACGAACATTTTCTTTTAGGCTTTGGCTGTCAGATAAAAAATAACTTGGTTTATAAATCTGTGTTCAGAGAAATATGCTGGCATATGTTAGGAACCCTAGATGAGAACTGGCTTGACAAAAGGAGCTTATTATGAGGCAATTTGTGTTGCGGCAGCTCTAGTTATAACTCAGTGATAATCAAGCTTTTGAACATTTAGCTCAACTTGATCGAGGCGCAGTTTGAGAATGTGTTCAGTCATTATCTTTCAGCAGAAACACAGCAGTCATTGGAACCCATTGTAAAAGTCAAACAACTTCTGTTAATGTTTGCGTGCAAATCCACACAATTCACAACACCTTTAATTGAACGCATATCTTAATTTATAATCTGTGTCCAGATTAATTATGGTTTCACAAAAATACCCAAATTTGGGAAGCACATTCAGAAAACCGCACTGACTTAGCCTAAGTACGTTAGCTTTTTGATGAGTGGGGTAATGATACATGCATTTGTATACATATACTTCAGTAGAGGTCTTCTGGTTTGGGATGCATGCACACTGACTAAACACAACATTGTCTTCACATTCCTTACAATGAAAACCTTTTGGGACAAAATTAAATGTAACTCTGTTTCTCCAAGGCAACTTATCGTAGTGGAACTACCAGGTACATGTGTGCTTCTCACACTTCTGTAAGCTACAGTGACAATGCTAACAGAGGTAGGGTATTTCCACTAAAGAAGCTTCAGTGACAGGCCAGGGCTGGTGCTAGAGCTGGTTCTTAACTTCTTCCTAAAAAAAATAAAGTTAGGAACTTTGGTTTTCTACAGCCTGTGAGCTGACTCTGAGTCATGTCATTACATCACCTTTAACAGCTCTTCTAGTAAATAATAGATCCTTTCTCTGTTGAACCTCTGTTTTACTAGAGAATAACAGAGAAGAAGAAAAAAATTATCAGCTTGTGGTAGCACATTAATAAGAGCCTATGATTTCTAAGATGTGGAAAACACGAAAATAACCACGTACTTGGATGTTAAAATGTAAATTTTTTGAGGTCAGTATTGATTTAAGGTTGGTAAAGTGCATAGTTGACCAGTACTTTTGCCTTCAGCAAAAGGGTCCTGGTTTCAACTTCTAGCCAGTAGTCTTTATATGTGGCATCAAATCCTTCCCTTTATTGCAAGGATTGTCTGCGGGTATGCCAGTTTCATCCCATAGTCCAAAGCAATGCACATTGTTAATATGGGACTATAAATTGGCTCTGTGTGTATAAATGGTTGTTTTGTAGTCCTGTGATGGATGGATGGGCAACCTGTTTAGGTTGCACCCCAAAGACTGCTGAAAGGAGACACTGACTTCCTACAACACTGAACAGAATAATAATAACCAGCCATGGTTATGGACAAACCAACCCCAAAGTCCCATGACTCAGCTTCCTCCATTGAAGACAAGCCAATGGGATTGAAAAGGTCAGAGAAGTATTCCTTCCACCTCCTGATGACATCAGTGTTTGAGGTCAACCGCATCCCACCTTCAATGAACACAGTTTCAGTCAAGATCTGCTTTCCCCACCTCAGCCGCCTGATGGTTTGCCAGAATCTCCTCAGAACCGACTCTGTCCAAGGTCTCACCCAACTCTTCCCACATCTGAGCTTTTGCCTCAGCAAGAGGCATGGCTGCGGACTGCTTGGCCCTCCGGTATTTTTCAGCTGCCTCTGGAGTCCCACCAGCCAAGAAGGCCCGATAAGACGCCTTCTTAAGATTGACAGCCTCCTTAGCCTGGGGTGTCCAACACCGAGTTTGAGAATGGCTACTGCAAGAAGCACCAACAGCTATGTGGCCACCGCTCAAGGCAGCCACGTCAACAATTGAGGCAAGGAACACGGCCCACTCAGACTCAATGTCCCCTGCCTCAGCTGGGATGTGGTTAATGCTCTCCCGGAAGTGTGAGTTGAAGATCTTTCTTATGAGTGCTTCTGCCAGGTGTTCCCAGCAAACCCTCACTACACGTTTGGGTCAAGCATCTTCTCCTACCATCTGACCCAACTCATTACCAGGTTGTGATCACTTGACAGCTCAGTTCCTCTCTTCACCCGAGTGTCCAAAACAAACAGACACAAATCAGATGACATGACTATAAAGTCAATCATTGATTTACAATCTAGGACACCCTGGTGCCAACTGCAGTTATGGGCACCCTTATGTTATGTTCGAACATGGTGTTTGTGATGGACAAACTATGACTAGCACTGAAGTCCAACAACAGTACACCACTTGGATTCAGATCAGAGAGGCCGTTCCAATCATGCCCCTCCCAGTCACACTGTTATTACCCACGTGGGCATTGAAGTCCCTAGCAGAATAAATAAGTTCCCAGCTATCACGCCTTCCAGTACTCTTGTCAAGGAATCCAAGAAGGCCAATACCCTGAACTGCATTTTGGCGCGTAGGCACAAACAACTGTCAGAGCCCGTCCCCCCACCCGAAGGCTCATCTCTGTCAGAGGTGACGGGGCTTTCTCTGTTGCAGGTCCAAGACTGTGGAATGAGTTGCCACTATATGTCAGGCAGGCTCCCACACTCACAGTTTTTAAGTCACGCTTGAAAACCCACTTTTATTCCCTTGTCTTTGACATGGTGTGATTTGTTTTGATCCTATCTGTATTCTACAATGTTGGCCATTTAGTTATTATCTGCTGTTATTTGTATCTATATTTGTATTTTATGTTTTCCTGTCTGCTGTGCTTATTTGTTTCTTTTGTACAGCACTTTGGTTGGCCTTGTTGCTGTTTTAAATGCTCTATAAATAAATTGGTATGGTATGATATCTACCAGGGAAAACTCCAACACACAGGCACCAAGTTGGGGGCTAAAAGTAGGTCCACACCAGCTCTGCGCCTCTCACCATGGGCAACTCCAGAGTGGAATAAGGTCCAGCCCCTGTCAAAGAGATTGGTTCCAGAACCCATGCTGTGCGTCGAGGTGAGCCCAACTATATCTAGTCGGTACCTCTCAACGTCACACACAAGCTCAGACTCCTTCCCCACCAGAGAGGTTACGTTCCATTTCCCAAGAACCAGTTTTGGTAAACCAGGGTCAGAGCACCAAAGCACCACCCCCTTTTTGGTCACTGCCCATGGCTTCATGCACCTGACTCATATGGCCCCTCCTGCAGGTAATGGGCCTACAAGAAGGCAAACCCATGTTGTTTGTTCGGGTTGAGCCTAACCAGGCCCCATGGGTAGAGAGCCAGTCAACAGGCGCTCAACGATGAGCCCCTTCCCCAGGCCTGGCAACAGAGTGGGACCCCAGTACCCCACGTCCGGGCAAGGGACACTGAGCTCCTTGATTTTGTTTGTCCATATAAGTCTTCAGAATTGCTTAGTCCTGCATGTCACCTAGAACCAATCTGCCTTGGGAGACCCTGCCAGGAGCAATTACAATTGTACCCAACAGCATAGCTCCTAGGATCCTTCAGGTGCACAAACTCCTCCACCATGATAAGGTGGCAAATATTCCGAAAATGGTAACAAAAAAAATTGAAAGTTCAAAATAGTTTCACGAGGACAACTAATTTGATTTTTCTTTTGAAATTCTTTAAGAAAATTTATCAAACAAAATAGGGGCAAAAAATGCATTTGAAAAAAATGAATAAATTAGAGGGTTTTCAGAACACCGTATCTTACCTTTACATTGTCGCCTCGTGTCAGGATGTCCCAGAGTGTGTCTCGAAACTTGGCCAGATCCATGTCACGGCCACCTCCCAACAAAACCTGGGAGGAAAAGCACCATCATTTGCAATCTTTACTGTCAAGCTGCACAAAAAAAAAAGTATTTTTTTCACATGCTTTGGCACAATGGCTTTCAAACTTTTCAGCTTTCAACCCACAAAATAAAAGCTTAAGAGTTTTGTTATCCAAACTACTGTTGGTTGAAGCATGTTGCTGATAAGCCATTTACCAAAAAGCTTCATTGTGTGAATGTTTCTAAAGCATTCACACTGCTGAGGCCCATTTTCCTTAAGCACATTTTTCACCATGTAATTCTAACAGTTTTTGTGCTATTTCAATCATTCATGGGTCAAAACGTTCAGCTCATCCAGGACATAACTATTATGACTTTTGGTAATTGTGCAATTTTTCATTATATATATATATATATATATATATACACACACACACATATATATGTATATATACATATATTAGCCTTTTTTAACGTTTTTCTCATTTCTAATGAAAGGAGCTTTCTTCACATCCTTTAAACACTTTGTGCCATTTACAGACTTTAATTGTTCATTTCAGCTTTTGTTCTGGTTCTGCATTTCACCTTGTTTCTGTTGTTTTTAGCTTTCTTCAGCTCATTTTAGCTTCTTTCTGATCATTTCAGCTTATTTTCTACTTTTGGTAGCGTTTGTCTTGCTCATTTCAGCTTCTTTCTCTCAATTGCTGCTTTGTTTATGGGGGAGGGAGTATTCTTTCAGCTTTTTAAGCTAATTCTAGCTTCTTTCTGCTATATTATGCTTCATTTGGTTAATTTCAGCTTTTCTTTCTTTTAGTCAATGACATTTCAGAATTTTTCTGCTAATTTCTGTTTTTTGGCTATTTTTCAGCAATTTTCAGCTTTAAATGGTTCTTTTCAGCTTTATTCTGCCTATTTCAGTTATTGTGCTCTTTCTGGCTTTTGCAGCTAATTTCAACTTTTTATACATTTTTCAGCTACTTTAAGATGATTTTCTGTCGAGTGTAGCTTTTTTGTGGTATGTTAAACTTCTTCTAATTTCAGCTTTTTTGTGTTCCTTTGGGCTATTTTCTGCCCATACAGACTTTTACATCCCTTTACAGTTTTCTTTTTACAAACCGGATTCCAAAAAAGTTGGGACACTAAACAAATTGTGAAGAAAAACTGAATGCAATGATGTGGAGGTGCCAACATCTAATATTTTATTCAGAATAGAACACAAATCACAGATCAAAAGTTTAAACTGAGAGAATGTATCATTTTAAGGGAAAACTCTGTTGTTTCCAAACTTCATGGCGTCAACAAATCCCAAAAAAGTTGGGACAAGTCCATTTTTACCACTGTGTGGCATCCCCCCTTCTTCTTACAACACTCAACAGACATCTGGGGACAGAGGAGACCAGTTTCTCAAGTTTAGAAATAGGAATGCTCTCCCATTCATGTCTAATACAGGCCTCTAACTGTTCAATCGTCTTGGGCCTTCTTTGTTGCACCTTCCTCTTTATGATGCGCCAAATGTTCTCTATAGGTGAAAGATCTGGACTGCAGGCTGGCCATTTCAGTACCTGGATCCTTCTCCTACGTAGCCATGATGTTGTGATTGCTGCAGAATGTGGTCTGGCATTATCGTGTTGAAAAATGCAGGGTCTTCCCTGAAAGAGATGACGTCTAGATGGGAGCATATGTTGTTCTAGAACCTGAACATAGTTCTCTGCATTAATGGTGCCTTTCCAGACATGCAAGCTGCCCATGCCACAAGCGCTCATGCAACCCCATACCATCAGTGATGCAGGCTTCTGAACGGAGCGTTGATAACAACTTGGGCTATCCTTGTCCTCTCTGGTCCGGATGACATGGCGTCCCAGTGTTCCATAAAGAACTTCAAATTGTGACTCATCTGACCACATAACAGTCTTCCATTTTGCCACACTCCATTTTAAATGACCCCTGGCCCAGTGCAAACGTCTGAGCTTGTGGAGCTTGCTTAGAAATGGCTTCCTCTTTGCACTGTAGAGTTTCAGCTGGCAATGGCGGATGGCACGGTGGATTGTGTTCACTGACAATGCTTTCTGGAAGTATTCCTGAGCCCATTCTGTTATTTTCTTGACAGTGGCATTCCTGTTTGAGGTGCAGTGACGTTTAAGGGCCCGGAGATCACGAGCATCCAGTAGAGTTTTACGGCCTTGACCCTTACGCACAGCGATTGTTCCAGATTCTCTGAATCTTTTGATGATGTTATGCACGGTTGATGATGATAACTTAAAAGTCTTTGCTATTTTACGCTGGGTAACACCATTCTGGTATTGCTGCACTATCTTTCTGCGCAACAATGGTGGAATTGGTGATCCTCTTACCATCTTGGCTTCTGAGAGACACTAACACTCTGAGAAGCTCTTTTTATACCCAATCATGTTGTCAGTTGATCTAATTAGTGTTAATTGGTCTTCCAACTGTTTGTTATATGCTCAATTTCCTTTTTCCAGCCACTTATTGCTACTTGTCCCAACTTTTTGGGGATTTGTTGACACTGTGAAATTTTGAATCAACATAATTTTCTTTTAAAATGTTACATTTACTCAGATTAAACTTTCGATCTGTCATCTATGTTATATTACAAATAAAATATTGACATTTGCCATCTCCATATCACTGCATTCAGTTTTTATTCACAATTTGTTTAGTGTCCCAACTTTTTTGGAATCCGGTTTGTACAATTTTCAGCACGTTTCTGCTACTTTTAACTTCTTTCTGCCGGTTTCAGTTTTTTTTTAATCTACTTTCAGCTATTTTTTTGATAGTTTTAGCTTTATGTTCTGCTGAATATCTTTTTTCTACTTTTCAGCTATTGGTGTATTATGACAAGTAAGCTTTAGTTTGTTCAACAGCTTTCAGCAAAATCATTCAGCAACAGGCGTTCACACTACATTTTTGCAGAAAATGCTATTTCTCTAGTTATTCAAGTTCTATTTTACAATTTATGACTACTGGTTTAATACTCGTAATAACTAAAGCTATATAGACTAACGACAATCAATTTTTAAGTGACAATGCCACCCGATGCCAACTTTAGGAACCACTGCTCGAGCATACACATTAAAGGAACAACTGACCAAATACAAATCAAACACTGGTCCACAAAGAATAATAGTTTCACAAGTACTCAAATATTTTTTTCTTTAGTATTGGTATTAATTTGACATTTTTGTACTGCGACAACCCAACATCTGATTATAAACTGCATTCTAGCCATTTCCACTTCAGCTCACCTTGCATGTGCTTATCTATTAAAATCACACGCTCATTAAATCATCTTTTACAGAAACAAGGAAGAAGTTTTAGTCTTTAGAAGTCCAATACAATTCATCAGGAAGAATGTTTTATTTATCTATAGTATAAACCAAGTGCATGTTTTAATTCCCTGGCGGGCACACGTATCATTCCTCCTGTCTTAACAGACAAAGGCTCCTGCAGGGGAAAACACCTGACAGGCAAATTAATCTGAAGCCAGTTGAATTGGAAGTCAGTCAGGCGGTGCATACCAGTGAATGCCCATCAGTCACAAGACCTTGTGCAAGGCTATAAAAAATATGAGTCTGCTGCACAAGAGGTAAAGGATAACAACAGAAGTGTGGAAGTTGGTGCCATTTTCAGTGTTTATTCATTGGGAATAGTGTCACCTGGAAGCCAGTTTGATGAGTGATGCATCCCAGCAGGCACTGACCTTCAGATACTACGCACAATTAGGCTAAGATAATAAACACAACCATGGATTTGGATATGTGAACTGGAAGGCAAAGTCCACTGAATCGGCTTGAGCTTCAATGACAAAGTTCCTCCATGGATGGGTAGTCTTTCAAACCTGAATTGAAATTGGTTGTTACAGAAAGAATGAGCAGAACACCAGTGTTGCTTCAGGCTGATATTCACCTTGGGTTTTGGTTTTTACATTTTTATTTCACTTTTTTCAAGTCTTTGCTTAAAGTAAATTCAATAAAAAACGATGACTGTTGCTTTAATAATTATCAATAGTTTTGGTATCTAAAAGGAGGGATTGCTTTATATTACATTTAACTTGTAGCTTGTAATTTTGGTAGGATGTTGCAAGATATTTTAAGATGCCTGTTTGGGCTTTGGGTTCATGGTAGAATTTGCTTGTGATACCTGTCATAATATGCTAATGGTATGCCAATGTTCCATATCGTACATAAAAATAAAGGTAACCTTTTTGTCTGTTTTGTGCATGTCTGAGGTGGTGCCGATTGATGGATCCTGGCAAATGGAGGGAGCAATCTTATCCACCACCAAGTGCAATAGTGGAGCCAGGGATGGTCAATGGTGGCCTTGTCCATCATAGAATAATTTGCAGCCACCCCAATCATTTGAGGAAACTATACTTTTAAGCAATATAAAACTAGAAAGCAAAGTTTCCTCATATGGTTAGCATGGCATATATACACATATATAGTGGCAGGCAGCCATCTTGGATTTTAACATGGCAACCCAATTTTCTAAAGGAAACTTTCTTACGCCTAGGAGGAGCCACAAATCAAAATGGAAGTTGGTACCTCACTTATTTTTCAAGTTATCCAGCTCACAAAACAGACACATGGACAGACAGAGTAAAGGACAATGGCTATTTCATATTCTCCTCTTCGCTGCATGACGAGGGACAACAAACGAGGGCGGTGTAATATGGCTTGAAACGCATATCATGTGTCCCATCGGTGTATGAATGAGATAATGCACTGATTCGTATCTTTAGAATGATTTGTTCAATTAGCTTTGTAGAGATATAGTAGAGTGCTGTATGAATGGGTAGATGAGGACACAGATTGTAGTGTAAAGTGCTTTGAGTATCTTGATAAGATAGAAAGGTGCTATATACAGTAAGTACAGTCCATTTACCAATTAAATCATGGTAGTGGCGTCAATTTTACGAAAATCATTTCCAACTCCTGATAGACTTGAACAGCATTGCATCGCTCCATGTAAATCGCCATTCTCCTGTACACTTTCAGTGTGGAAAACTGTC